GTTACACTGCAGTGAATATGAAGGCACAAAATCTGAGGCACTGTTGTTGACTCTTTTGGGTATATAGCCATTAATAGAACTGCTGGGAAGGGATATGAAAATGTCAATTTTTAATCTTTTGAGAAAGTATACCTTACTCTTTTCTATGGTTATAGTAACATTTAATACCTTCATCAACAGTTTAAAAAGACTCCAAATCATCCACACACTTGCCAATACTTAGCATTTTCTTCTTTTTAAATCTTTTCTGCTTGCTGTAATACCAGTGAGTGTGGGGTATCTGTAGAATCCAGATATAATTCTGAGCTGCATTTCCCTAACTGTTAAGAGATGCTGAGCATTTTTAATGTTCTTATTAGACATTTGTTTTCATTCTTTGGAGAACTCTCTTTTTACATCCCTTGCACAGTAAACAACTCTTGACAAATAATAACTGTAAATATTTACAGAGTATAAAATGGTGAACTTTTTTTGTAATAGATAGTCTCATATAGCCAAGGCTGGCCTCAATATGTAACTAACGACAACCCTGAACTCCCGGTCCTCTTGTTGAAATTATACAAATATGCCACTATGACAGCTTTTTATGTTCTGATATGTATTATCTTATAGAATAACTAAGACAAACTGTACTCATGAATTCACTACTTATATCTCTCCTAACTGAACATTATACACCTTAACCAAAATGTCATCAATCCCCAACCTATCCAGCCTCTGGAAGACACCATGGTACTATAGTGAGTTTGAGTTTTCCTGTTATAATATGCAAATAGGATTACAGAGCATTTATTTATGACTCATTTCTTTCAGTAAATGTATATTTGTGTGGAAAATGAAAATATTTCCCCCATTTAAGGCCAAAGAGTATTCTAGCTTGTATTTTACAAACACACACACACATTTTCTTCAGACATTCATTTGACAGATGCTTATGTCATTCCCTGTCTTGGTCACTGTGAATATATATCCATGATACACAGATTTCATCTGTTCTGCAAAAATTCCTAGAAGTTTGATTGCTAGACCACATGGCAGTTTACTTTTTTCAAAACACTCCTCACTATTTTCCGTAATCACTGTATCAATTTATAGTCCTATCAACAGTGTGCAAAACTCCCTTTCTCTACATTTTCAGTAGTACTTGGTAGTACTACTAGAGCAGAACATTCTCCAAAAACCTGCGTGTCAAGTGCTTGGGCCTACTGAGGAATGGCAGAAACTTTATGACAGGTGCAGAAGCTTTTTAATTTTATGCAAAAATCACCATCTTATGTGCTATTCAGGTCTAATTCAAAATATTGCCCAAACCAATTTGGGAAGATCTCCCCATTATTTTTCCTAACAGTTTTCTGGGCTTCTTGTTGATGTTTTAGATTGTTTATTTTGAGAGAATTCTTTTTTTTTTTTTTTTTTTGGTTTTTCGAGATAGGGTTTCTCTGTGGCTTTGGAGGCTGTCCTGGAACTAGCTCTTGTAGACCAGGCTGGTCTCGAACTCACAGAGATCTGCCTGCCTCTGCCTCCCTAGTGCTGGGCCCTCCCTCTCTCTCTCTCTCTCTCTCTCCCAGGGTAACTCTCAAATTTGAAATCTTCCTACCTCTAGCTTCAAAGTGCTGGAATGATAAGTGTAATATGTTAAAGCTTTTCATCCTTTACTGATTGATTCCTATATATGGCTTGAGGCAAATGTGTAATTCCATTCTTCATTTAGAAGATAATAGTCATTTTCCCATTGTGTGATTTTGTGATCTTTACTGGAAATCAATGGAATACTGTAAACTCATGAGACCATTTCTAGGTGCTTGATTATATCCAGATAGCATATGTCTGTTGTAATGCCAGGATATGGCTGTTTGATTTGAATTTATTTTTTAGTGACAGGGATGTTGAGATAGGATCTCATGCAGCCTAAGCTGGCTATGAACTTACTATGAAGGTGTGACTACCATTGAAGTCATGATCTTTCTGCTTTGTTTTTTCAAGTAATTAGATGAAAGACGTGAGCATTCCAAGGCACTGTTTAATATAGTAGCATTATTATATATTTTGTAATCATATATGATTTACTCAGCTTTATTCTCTTTGTGCAAGATTATTTGGCTATTTGGGGACTTCTGTGGTTTTATAAAGTAAGTGTGTGTGTGTGTGTGTGTGTGTGCATGTGTATCTCAAGTTGTAGGCCATCCTGGACTTTTAATAGAATCTGTTTTAGAATTCTCTCAAAATAGGCAAGCTTTATTTGTTAGATTACAAACAAAATATCACTACAGTTTTAGATGTACAGATTTTTTTAGATGTACAATTCCTTTATTCTTAAGACTTATACATTATATAAATGTATAGCTGCTGTAAATGAGATCATTTTCATGACTTCTGTTTGGAGTAGTTCATCATGTATGTTGATTTTAGAAGTTGCAGCTTTACTGAATTGATTTGTTCTCACATTTTTGTTGTTTCCTCTTGGGGGAGGAGGATGAGACAGATCTTTAGATTTTTTCATATATCTTTGGGAAAGTCAGACAATTTATGTCTTTCCTATTTGGACAACTTTTATTCTTTATTTCTTTTCTTTAATTGCTCTGGCTAATATTCTAGCTCTAGAAGCGGTAATATGAGTCTTAAGCATAAATGAAAATTTTGCTAATATTTAACCACTAGTATGATGTTGGCTGCATGTTCTTGCTGAGCTCACTTTCTTCTATACATGAATGTCTGCTGAAATAATTATAGGACATTTACCTTTTATTCTTTTAATGAGGTGTATCACAGTTATTAATCTGATGGTGTCATCTCAGGAATAAATTCTACTCAACAATGGTTGACAACCCTCCTAATGTGCTGATGAATTTGGGTGTTCTAGGATTTTTGCATCTACATGTATTAAAAGCATTGGCCAATAATTTTATTGACTTGTCCTTTTCTGGGTTTTTACTAATGATAATGATAATAATAATAATAATAATAATAATAATAATAATAATAATAATAGAGTTAGACTAAACCATAAGTTTGGAGTATTCTTTCTTCTTTAATAGTCTTAAAGGCTTAAAAGAGATAGGTACTATTTGTTCATTACAAGGTCTGTTCAGAATTTCCTTTTCTTTATTATTTAATCTCAGTAGAATCTACATTTCTAGAAATTGAATTATTTCTTGTAGACTAGACAATCTGTTTGGATACACATGTTCAAAGGACAACAGTCCTACCCTAATCCGTAATGACATGTTCCAGGATCCCCAGTGAATGCTTAAAACCTCAAGTAGTATAAAACATATATATTTCTGCTTTTTTCCTAAATAGCTATACATAAACTTAATGTCATTTCCAACTTAACTAAGCCATTTATCATATGATATTATTGCAGCCATAACTTTGGTGGTCTGAAGCACACACATTAGCCAAAATGAATGAATTTCTATTATGCCTTTCATGGGTTTTGTGAAAAGAACATTCATTCTCATTGTAGATCTTAGAAACCACAGCATAAAGTCTATATATTTGTTGGTTTGTTTTGTTTTCATTACAAGTAACAGCTTTTGCCTTTTTCCCTAAAACAGTGGTTCTCAACCTTCCAAATGATGTGACCCTTTAATAGAATTCCTCATGTTGTAGTGACCCACAAACACAAAATTATTTTTGTTGCTACTTCATCACTGTAATTTTGCTACTGTTATGAATCGTAATGTAATTATCTGATATGTAGACGGTATTAGGCGATCCCTGCGAAAAGGTGGTTTGACACTCTCACAAGGGGTTGCAACCCAGAGGTTGAGAACTACTGCCATGAAGGAACCACTGTAGAGTTTCTTTGGTTCTATTAGTTCAATTTGATTTAAAATGTAGAACAAATTCAGTGCCTCCCAAGAGCTGGAGAGATGAGAGATGGCTCAGACACTAGCTTTTCTTCCAGGGGAAACGGGTTTGATTCTCAGCAGTTGCATGGAAGCTTACAACCTCCTGTAATTCCAGTCCCAGTGGACCAGAAACTCCTTCTGGCCTCCACAGCCATGCACAGCCATGCATGTAGACAAAACACCCATAAACATAAAATAAAAATGATGTAAAAAAAATCAAAGCTTTCAAATTTGTTGCTCCTCAAGGACTTTAGGTCTGGATAATCTGACTGTTAAGCTGTCCCTAACACTGCTATATTGCACTTTGTTTCTCCTTGACTTTGTTAAGAAGTCTGCCTTACACATTTAGCATTCCAATATTGGGTGTGTATATTTGTTATATCCTTTTAAAATCATAATGGCTTCACAGTATGTAATAGGCTACTGAACATCTTAAAACATTAAATCATAATACTCATGCTTTCTTTCCTATGCTTTTAGCCAACATGAGAGATAGGCACAGAAATGTTATCTATAACTATAGTACAGAATTAAGACAATGCCTTTTAATAGCTATGGCCCAAACAGACAAAGAAGTACAAAGTAAAACAAGGGTATTCCATCTTATCTGCTTCTTGGAATTGCTCTACAGGGTCTGTGTGTTCTGCTATCAATGAATTAGTGATTTATCACCTGCGATTTTTGAGTATCTTGGTGTAAGTATAATATGGTCAACCTGTAAGTTACAGAATCTTGAGGTTCAATCCCAATAAATGCATTCAATTATGCAGGTTTAAAAAATCCCTTTGTTAATCTGACAGTTCTGTGTAATAATCATCTAAACAAGAATCTGCCTGAATTCTGTATGTTGAAATGTGAAACTAACAGAACCAGAAACACTTCAGTAATAATCATCTTGCATGGAGAGTTTCTGCCTTCAAAGTACACTTAAAATTTACAAGTTTCAGAATTAGTTTGAAGAAAATACAAGGGAAAGGGGTAACTTCAAAGAAGAATGTTTAACAAAGTAACTTTATATGCAAACATCATTCACTGTATGTTACCTTCACCAATTAATTGCTACAGGAGAAAAAAAAGAATAGGAAGTGGGCAGACAAGTGGAGGATAAGTGGTTTCAGTGCAGTGAAAGGCTGCAAGTAGGCTTACCTCCTCTGACTGCTCGCGGGTCTGTATAGGTGAAGTTCTTCTGCCCACAGTAAGCCGATGGCAGGGATAAGAGAGCCCTGATTCCGCAAGACACATCTGCAGAAAGTAGAATTGTCATTTTAAACAAAATGCAGCCATCTTTAAAAAAGGACTTTACATTTCTAATTTTTTTCTATAACTTTTGAAGCTAGAGTAGAAAGCTTACTCTATTAGCCTGGGTATTACATTACCAGGAAGGCTTTGAAATTAGGAAACGTTTCCTCGCATAAGATATTGTGGTAAGCCAGGTATGGTGGCACACACCTTTAATTCCAGCAGCTGGGAGGCAGAGGCATCTCTGTGTGTTCAAGGCCAGTCTGGCTTACATAGTAAGCTCCAAGACAGGACACTTCATAGACTCTGTCTCCAAATTAAAAAAAAAAAAAAAAAAAAAAAAAAGATACTGTGGCAGTCAAGTCTAAGTTTCATTAGAAAACAGATGTGGGAAACCAGAAATTGGACATAAAACCAAATTATGCATACTTCCCCTCAGTGTAGGTTACTGCTACTGTACCCATTCACAGAATAAAACCCCAGTTTCCTAGTTTCCAGGGTAGTGAGGATATATGGCAAACGCAATGATGTTTTTTTATTTTACCATAGTTACATGTTATTTATACATCAGTCCTAACACACAATTTTAAGGATAATAAGAAAATAAGACCTTATAAACTTAAAATGCATGGAAAGAACTTACTTGGTTTACACTGTTTACAGTCCTTATTGCCTTTGTAATCTAACACACTATCCAAGGAATCTGTCTAGCTTAGCAAAAAACAATTAAGTAACATATATCTATGGCTAGTAAAGCTTAGAGTATGTCTACTAGTAAATAAAATAAGTTTCTGAGGTTTAAATTAAAATCGGGCAAACATAAAGAAATATGACTGAAGTTTGGGTTTCATAAGTATTAATTAACTTCTTGAGGACATAGATTCTAAGACAATACAATTAAAGATTTACATCCGTTTCAGAATTAGTATGAAGAAAATACAAGAGAAAGTGTTAACTTCAAAGAAGTATGTTTAAAAAAGTAAATTTATATGCCAATAGTTTATGACAATTATCAATAACATTTTTATACCATTATAGTGCATGCTACATATCATTTATTCTGTAATGGTATTTTATTCTCATGTTATTTTAGTTAACTCCTATATCTATAGAGTATTTGTATTTCAAGTCATTTTAACTATGTAGAAGAATTAAAACATGGTGGCACTCATTGTAACTCAAGTTCAGGGGGAGTAAGGGGGGCAATGCCCTCTTCAGGCTTCTTGTGCTATATATGCACACATAATTCTTAAAAACCAAACATAACAATGCTCAAGGGTGAAGGTGGAGCTTAGTGGAAGAGTATGTGCTCAGCAGGCTTGATTAATCCATCACTCAAATCAACAAAACTATTAACCAAAAGAAGGTATATGTGCCTCAAGCAAATTAAAAGGCAAAAGGCACACGAGTATCTAATGTAATGACATAAATCAAAGTTTCTTTGATTAGTAGAAATAAAATATGGTATCTTTGGCACACTGAAAATATACTTTAGTAACATTGGGGAGGTGTGAATTAATGTGACTTAAAGTGAAGACATCCAAATATCTACAAATTAATAAATTCATAGGCAGCAGACAATAGTGGGAGAGACAAAACTAGAATTCATACATGTTTAAATAGGCTAATTATTTTAAGACAAATATTGGAATGGAAAATACAGACTCTACATAAATACCTAAGTATGCACAATCACACGTGATGTGTGCTGACATACAGGGGATGTGCTGATAAAAGTTAGGTGTTTGGCCAGGCGTGATGACACACACCTTAAATCCCAGTACTTGGGAGGCAGAGGAGTTTAAGGGAAGCTTGGGCTTCCCATTAATACATATGAAAAGACTTATAAAGGTTCCCAAATAAAAGATCAACCCAAAGGGTTTAGAAATGCAACTCACTTGTTAGAGTATTTGCCTAGTGTGAACAAGGCCTGGGTTGGACCCCCAGCATCACATAAACTCAGTGTGCACCTGTAATCCCAGACATGGAAGGTGGACCAGAGGACTATTAGTGTAAGGTCACCATCGGCTACACAATGACCTTAAGGCAGGTCTGGAAACAGTGAAACTTAAAACAACAAAACCAAAATCGACTTAACTCAAGGATACTGTTATTTCATTATTCAATTCCATATTGTTTAGTAAATGCTGCCTAGATAAATGAGAGAGATATTTTCTGATTAGGTATAAAATGCAGTGTCTATCTTAAGGGAACATGAATATCAACGGAGAAGACAGATGCACAAAAGCAACTAGCACAGATAGAGGTGGGAAAGTTGGCATGGGTATAATTTTATGCCCATATCTCACTGGTTAACTAAGCAAGCAAAATGAACTCCCATTCCATAGCATAACTGTATTGGAATCTAAAATGATGAGTCTTTGTATCGGTGTTTAAGCTGGAGTAAAAGTACTAAGATAGATAGATGGGGAAAACAGCTTTCTCTGTGCTTCCACTGTCCTTTGATTTCACAGTATTTTCAAATACTGTCTTTTAGTGCTTATATCTATTTTTGTATGTGTCTTATTTGCCCTTAGACATATGGGCAGGATCTTTTGCACTTCAAGAGCCTTCAGGTACTTAGTTTAATCCTTATTTTGTCCATGTTTGCCAAATGGATAAAACAATTGGCATTTTGAATCTAATAATTCAGAGAGATATGACATATTGACTATTTGTGTCAGAAATTAACATGATTCAACATCAAAATAAAGTATTTATCCTATCTTCCACGTTTTCCTAGACAAAAATCTTATACAGAGAATTCCTGAAAGATAATCCTTTAGTTCTAAGAGGTTAGTCAGAAGTAGGACTTATTTATTTCTGCATTCTCATTAATGTGCATACATCAACTTATCACAGAGAGAAAAGTATCTAAGCAAAACTCAGAATATAACTAAAATCCTTCAAAAACAAAACTTACTGTAAAGGTACCGTAGTGCTGTTTTTAAAAGGATATCATGGTATACAGTTTCTCCAAAAATAATACTCTTATTTATATTCTTTAGCCAAGATGACCTTTCATACTTAAACATATTACATGGGTATTACTGTAGCAGGCTCTTTGGGGCCACCAATGAGCTCCCAAATCATGACATGTAAACTTGTTTTAGTTATGAATACTTGGCTTTATCTTGGCTCTTGTTTTAATCAGTTTCTGCATTTTTGCATTGGGGCTTTAAAAAGCCCTTTCATTCTATGTATCTTACTTTCCTGTTTCCTCCATGACTAGCTGGCTGGCTGACTGGCTAGTGGCTGCCTGGCTTCTGGTTCTCTTTCTTCTTAGATTTCTCCTACTACTACATATTCTCTCTGCCCACTAGCCCTGCTGATTCCTCTACTGCCTGGCTAATGGCTGTTTAGTTTTTTATTAGACCAATAAGGTGCTTTAGGCAGGCAAGGTGAAACAGGAACACATCTTTCCTGTTACCATTAAACAAATGCAGCATAAACAAATGTAACACATCTTAACCTAGTCAAATATTCTAAAACATAAAAAATGTAATGCATGTTTACATAGTTAAAGTAATATTCTACAACAAATAATAATTTGTAAGAAGGTAATTCCTGGGAAGAAAAAATATTCAATAGAGCTTTCATATGATAATTCTTATAACATATAAATATCATATAAATCCATATGATAATGGATACCATCTGATTGAACCTGAAATTACACTAAAAATAAACACTAGACATAACTATATAACCAATGAGACAGAGATCATATTTGTAATTCAAAGGTAGAAAGGACAAATTCCTTCTAAGCTTTAAGTTTAAGAATTCTACAGGCAGAAAACCAGTCTGTTTGGCAATTCTCCTAACTTTACCACTAAGAAAATTGTTAGGGAATCCTTATACTAGGTGAATAAAATATACCTGAGTATCAAAACCAACCCAAACATAAATCCAGGTTTTCAGTGAAGTATCTATCAGAGGATGAGAAGCTGCTTTATCGTAAGTGCTCACAAAGACTTCTACTACAGGCTGATTGTTCAAATATTTTATTTTGTACTATAATACACTGCTTGTGGGGCCAGATTATCCTGCAGTAACCCCAGTCAATGATGTTTCAAGTGCTTAGAGAAATGGCTAATAAAGAAAAAGATAGTAATGTCAATTTCATGCTTGCTCACAGATATCTAGCTTCACAATCTCTAGAGTTGAAAGTATTAGTAAACAAGCTTTTAAAGAAAGTTTAAAAGTTTTAGGACCCCTTGGTAGTGGATCAGTATTTTTCCCTGGTGTAAGAAGGGACTGTGAGAGCCCATCCCACATGAAGTGATGCTCTCAAGGCCCAGACACATGGGGGAGGGTCCAGGGCTGGCCCAGGATGATGTGGACTTTAGGGAGCCCCCATGGAGGGTGGGTGGGGACCTGGTGGGGGGTTGGGGGAGAGAGGAGGTAAAGGGAGAAGCGATTGACATGTGAAGCAAGCTTGTTCCTAATCTGAACTAATAAAAATTGTTTTGGGAAGACAGTTAATAAACATTGACAGGACAAATGAAACTAATGACTGAAGGAAGCAAAGTTGTCCTAATAATATATAGGCATAATATTGCATAGCATTTTCCCCCTAAAAGAAAAGCTTGAGCTAACAGGCTAAAGAAAATGCCTAGCTCACAATAGATGTTCAACAGACACTACATTATTTTTGAAAGTGAGTACTTGTGGATTAGGATAAGATATAGAAGGAAAGTATTATGATGTATTGACTCAAAAAGTGCTGAATTTCAACCTAGTGTGAAGAGGCTATCTTAGAAATATGCCTAGCAATAATGGTGCTTACATATTAACGTGCATAAGAAATTTGAGTAAAATTTTTTCATGAAATGTAACAGTGGACTAAGGGAGCATCTGTAAGCTGATATTACATATTATCATCATTTCTATTATGGAGGTTTTTCAAACTACCAATAAATATTCACTATCAATAAAAAGGTTAATCTATTTAAGTTGCTTCAAACACCCCTTAAAAATAAACTAAAGGACTATCTTACATT